TCTTTTGCCGAAGCTCAGACTCTGGCACAGGATCGGGAACGTTGGAAGCACTGTCTGGCGCGTGTGCCTCGGCGACCCGAAAGGAGAAGCGGCGATGGAAGATGAAGATGAAGAAGAAGATGTAAACTACCGCTGCACAAACAACAACAGAAAAAGCATCTTCTGGTGAAACTGTAAGCCCAACTAATGGATTAGGTAATTCACATGCTGACTGTCATGCTGAATAATAAACAATGAAACAAACGACTCATTAAACAATATAAACCTGAGGCAAATCTGTTTAACCGACCTCTAATTCATGTATAGGATTAACAGTGAGGCGGTGACGAATCTGGACGGGGCATGTCCATCGCAAAATTGCTGTTAAACGACCACACGTGAACTAAGTCCGTAAAAATCTACAAGTAAACTCTTAAAATACGCAGGCGCAGGAGACACACTTAATCACGCAACCGACTCATTCGACACTGATGCACATAATGCACAAGTGTCATAAACATAACCGACACAAATACCGGAATATAACAGTATCGATCTACGTACCCGACACCCAAACTTACCGGCATACACCGAAGCACACACTGGGCATGCAAACTAACCCGGTACCAATTCATTCAACATACTAATTGCGTGTTTTCATAAACTTAACAACGAAACGGTAGACGCCAATACATATACAAGTATGTAACCAATGCAAATATGCCTGGCGCCTATGAAATACGCATACGCATTTCTTCAAAACTGGCTCAGCGAACAGCAGTTGAAAACTAATAGTTTTAATCATAAAATTTCACTAATTCAAAAATGCTGCCTGTGTCTTACACTTTTCAAGAAAACTATTTTTAGTCATTAAATTTCGTTTCTGCGTTGATAATCATGCTGAAGAGCAGAAAGTTGAATAAACACAATATAAAATGATGGTTTTTCGCAACGATTAACCTGTACGCGTATGCGATAAGCCGCAATTTTGTTTTATGATCACCGAACTATTTTGCCACATTCTCTTTCACATTTTTTATGAATAAATAATTGAACGAGCGTGGTGATTTCGGCATCTAGAGTACTGACGGCACATACCGTCGTAAAATGGCGGCGACTGGTATGACGTCATTGAACGATGAACAGGAGCAAGGTACTGCGGGTAGACAGGCTGCAGAGGTAAGCTTTCTACAGCTGCGACTTCTTGTTGGTTTAGAAAAGGGACCGTAGTCGCCGTTGGCGGAGGCACTGCGAAAGACTGGCGATGCTGGTCCTGAGCATCAGACGCGTGCTGCTGATGAACTTGCTGACGCAACGTCGAGTAACGCTTCGTCGTTCCGGCGCTGGCCGCCGGCTTGCTCGATTCCTCATGCGCATTCACCTTTGAGTCGTTTGTTTTGTATGACGTCGGTTGTCTGTCAACGTCTTCCTGCGACGAACGCCCTGAAAGCACAGTTCAAGAAACGTACACCACAGATCACCACTTCTCAGCGCACTGCCAGATGCGAAAGATCGACTTTCTGAAGAAGCTCTTCGTCGACCAGTGATATCCGGCGGCGACTTGGAAACAGTCGTCGACAGTGGCAAGGAAGAATCGTTGTTGACTACATTGGCCTTCGTCTTCAACGAATAATTTCTGACGTCACTTGAACCCTTGTAGGAGCCGCGTCTAGGTTCGAAACTCGAGACTGCTTCATCGCCGCCCGCGGGAGCATCATTTACTGACGCTCTAGGAAACGAACTGCCATGGGTCGAACCTCGCGAATGTCGTCTAGACTGATTTGAATAGGTAACATAATTTTGGGCCTGAGCCCATCC